GCTCAATGAGCCCTGTGTCAATGACACCGAAGTCTCCAAGTCTCGCTGGTTCCGACAGTAAGCACAGGCAGAGCCCAACTTCGTCTCCCGCACGCGGTGCAATGCTGGACCGTGTCTCTGCGGCATCGAAGGATGTAAATCCTAGGCTCCATAAACCCGAGCGTCGCGATCCGCGCGCGCTATCAGTGACGAGTTACCTAGTTGAGGATGTGGAGGTGGTCGACTACGAGTCTGACACACCTTTTCCGGGTGGAATGACGAGGAAGGCGAGCCACGCCAGTGGCGTGAGACAAGCCCTGCTCGCGCCTTGCGGACCCCATGTCCGTTTCCAGACCTCTCATCACCTGGAAGACGTGGTGACATCACGATAGACCTCGACAAGGCCCAGAGGCGGCAGCTTCAGCTGCCCGTAAGGCGGCTCTGATGTGCGCCCATCCACGGTCAGTCATTGACCCTCGTGTGGAATATGGCTTCCGCCCGGCGGGTTCAGCTGTGGAGGCGAAGGACGCGGTAACTCGATCGTTACGCCCCCACATTATCGGGCCTTCGGCCATTACAGATGCTGGGCTTACCAAACGGAGAGCTCTTTGAGCTCGTTTATTGGTCCCACAAGAAATTTCGCTGGTCGTTTATCGCACTCTACGCGCTCAACGAGGTGGCTCTCGTGTACCTGCAATATGGACAATACTTGTAGTTCTTGCCCCTGGCGAAAGCGCTACAGATGATGAAGTGCACTCTGAGCGATGGGTGCAACGGCACAGAAAACCTTCCTCACTGTTTGCCTTACAGTTGAGCACAAAAAAGTGGACGTGCGTGTGAAGCGTCACCTCCGATAGACGTGGAAAAAGAATATGTAAACATGAGAAGCAAAAGAAATGTTAAAACCTCGACGTCGGAGACCTGGTTCACAACCCCTAGCGCTCCCGCGAGCTCTGTGTCTGCGACCGCAAGAGCTCAGGGCCACCGCTTGAGTTCAGCCCATGGCCCTTCTACTTCCCTGAAGCGCGAGGTGTCTGATGACGCGGGGCGTCCTAATCGTTTTGATCAAAAGCGTCCACGCCGTCTTGACAATCTTGCCGAAGTGGCGCCTCAAATTCTCGCGAGTTTTCGAAGTCGGGATATCCCCGCCACTCCACCATATACTGGGTCAGACCCTGGTAACGACTTCGTCGTACTAGACGCTCCACGTGATAGCGGACGTCACCGTTCTCGTCAAGAGGAGTCGGTGACGGGCGGTGACGACCGAGTCGACCGCCGTCCTGTGACTCGTGATGCTCTTCGAACCCTTGAGGACGAGATCCTCCGTGATCGGAGC